CGAACAAAATATGGTATGTTGCTTGCAATACGTAATCTGGTAATCAAGTTTTCTTTATGATATCCATTAATTGGCGTTTATATTGTAGATGAATCATTTGAATTGTTTAGAAAAAAATGAACTTGACCGTATCGAATGTATAAAAACAGGTACAATACCTTTAAAATATCAGGCTTATATCAACTGTAATACTTAATTTATCGTTATATCAATTTCGTTGAATTAGCCTTCTTCAATTTTGCTGCCTCCTTCGGCAAAGCCGTCACCGCCACTAATAACATGTCACAACGTTTACTATTATATAACGAAACGTTAAAGCCAGAGAAAGATATCCATTTCATAATAGAACAATATCGCACTGGTCCATTTATTCCTCAAGTTATCATTTTCAGGAATAAATACAATGGAAGCGCTAATGGTATTTTCTTTAATTATAAATTGAAAAAAAAAGCATTTTAAATTTTGTAAACTTTAAATTTATATATCTAATATTTTAAAAGATCAAACATTTGGAGTACCTCTTGACGAGAAGGCCAAAAAAGATTTGAAATGTGTACCGCAAATTGTGACAAAACTTCTTAGTTATATTTCTAAAAGAGTATTCTTAGGTTGCATGAATGAACATGGTAATTTTATACTAGAGTTTATTATTGTAATTTTTGTGTTAGAGGTTTAATTCAATTTTTCTATATAGATAAAATGCTCGTATGGACAAAAAATGTGCCTTTGGCCGAAATACATGATGTCCGTGATGAAATTAATGATGGTAAATGATGGTACATACTTAGTTTTGATTAACTGCATCCTATTCACAAATTTATATTTAGGTGGAAAAGTCCGTATGGGACAATTGAAAAAACACGTCCCGACTATTATTGCTGGAGTATTAAAGTTATATTTTATGGAATTGCCAGAGTGTTTACTTACTTTCGAATTATATGAACCTGTTAAACAATTATATTCTATAAGTGAGCACAAATTTCTGACCATTCTTGTTTTCTAAATTAATTACAATATGTGTTTTTTAAATGTTGGAACTTTAAACAAGGTTCTGATGATCAAGACGAGAGTACACGAATAACATCTGTCGCAAATTTGTTAATTACGTCTCTCCCCGATGTAAACTACGCAACTTTGGATGCATTTATTTCACATTTGCATCGGTACGTGAGCTCTAAATTTTTATTATTATTATTATTATTATTATGATGTTATAATTAATATATTATACTTTCAATTTGATTAGTCTAATAAAATCCATAAATGCAGACGATGAATATATTACAACTTTATCCCATATTACTGGTTTAATTTTATTAAGACCATTAACTGAAACATCTTTATTTCTTCATGATAAGCATCCTCAACGATTGGTTAAAGATCTTATAATTCATTATGAAGCAATTTTCAAAGATCCAAACACTAAATTTGTTAAAACTGTTAGACGTTCAAGAAGTCGTGATTCAATGAAATCCTCGCGTTCCCATAGATCTAATAGTTCTGGTACAATAACTACTAATGAAAAAAGGAATAGCATTTCTTCAATATCCTCAAGTCATAGTAGAGAAAACAGGAATAGCATTTCTTCAATATCCTCAAGTCATAGTAGAGAAAGCACAGATAGTACATCAACTGTTAAATTGGAACGTAAACCAAATATTCGTCGACAATCTCGTATTTTAACATCTAATATTAAATCAAAAACTCGTAATGGATTAGGTTCACCAAATGAATACAGATCAGGTGAAGAAAAGTCATCAGATTCTTCAGAATCTCCTGTTAATTCAAATTTCCCTCGATTATATTATCGTTCAAACTCTCAACCAAATTCTCAACCAAATTCTCGACCGAATTCAGGACAATTTATTTCACAAGATCATTCATTTGTCGCTGATGATGATTTATATCAGATTCCTATTAGTGCAAACGATGATTAATACTATTTTATTAATATTTATTTCATTAATAACGATAGAATTTTCGGTTTCAAATGTTTTAATTAGTTAATCACATAAATTTAACACATCCAAATTTCATATAAACTTATAAAAAAAAAATCAAACATTATTTAATTAAAAAGATTTTATGTATAAATTTTAAATATATATTCTTTGCATTGAATAAAAATCTTTAATAAAAAGTTTAATATTTAATCACAAGTAATTTTAAGAAATTTTTAATTGATGCTAATGTTAATTTTATAACTTTTGTAAAAGTAAGTAAATCAAAAGACTGAATCTATAGTCGCCTCTCTAAACCAAATTTTAGATAAACTGAATAATAATAATGAAAATTTAAAATCTTATTGATTATTATAACTTTGGGGTTAAAACTATAATTTTTAGTATATAAAGTGTTGACTACATACACTAAAAACAATTGAATAATTAGTTTAATAAAATAATTTTTTTAAAAGCAAAATATTTTATTAATTCTATTAATTCTAATCATCAAAATTGGTTTACAGTTTAGCTGTTGTATAATAATAAATTTTAAATCTTTATTCTTGTTTTTAATTTCAAGTATTAGAGGGTTTCAAAATTAAAAAATCAGACACCTATTTCGAAAGAAATAAGTGATATATTTTGTTTTAAAATAAATTCTATTTTATAATAAGTGTAAGCTTATTTCTAGTGTTCGAATTGCCGGGTTAAGCCCGGGAATTTACGAGCCGAGCCGAGCTTGGGTCTAGTTTGAAACTGGGGTAGGGCTTACCATTTTCTGCTGCGACGGACCCCAAATTCTAAATTTACCATAATTATAAATTTTTATCGTAAGTTACATAAATTCCTCTACTTTCCGAAATCCCCGACAAGCATGCTCGTGTTTTGTGTCCGTGACAGTCTATTCTCCCGTAATGCGCCGATATTCTATCTTTAAAATTCCGGCCATTTTATGCGCAGATTATGCTCTATTAATTATGCGAAATTTATCCTGATATGCGAATATGCTATCGCATATGCTTCTGCGGTAAAATCAGATTTATGCGCATATTATGCTATCGCAAATCGGCGCTAGCCTTACAGGTAGGGAACCTGGCATGGTGATTATTGGCATGCCATAGTGGCATGCCAGTGGCATACCATCTTCTCAGAAAATCAGGGTGGCATGAGTATTCTAAATTCACATGACTACAGCCAATCAAATTATAGAATTTTGAAACAGTAGTCTAAATCTACTTTAAGTAGGTTAAGTAAAAATGTTAAGAATGCAATTTTGCTTATATATAACTATTTAAAATCTAACCTAACTCTAATATAAGATGACTCTAACTCTAAAGTTAATTGAGAAAATTATTAAGAAATTTGAGTTGTTTTTACTTTATATATTTCTTTTTTTTTTCTCTACAAGAGGATCTTGTTCTTCATTTTATTATCATTTAATACTGATTATAATATAAACATATAAAGCTAAACTATATATGTAAACACAAAAGCTAAACTAAATATGCAGGAGACTTTACCCTTATATCATAATACAAATAACTATCACTAATATAAATGAGCTCAACTAAATATACCTAGTGAATGATTATTACAATTCCAGACTTACTTAGATACTTATATAGCCTTAAGTACAATTGACTTGCCAGCAAGTTTACTTCTCGAAAAGCTTTGTACTCAATACACAAAACAATTTAATTCCTTGATGGTCTGCTGACAGCCTAGTTAAAAACCTCTTGGTCATTTTCTACTCTGTGCTAAACTGATCCAAGGTGAGTAAGCTATAAAGAGAAAAAATAAAAATTATGTATATAACAAAAGATACAAGGTCACATATCATATAATATAGTTGAATAAAAGGAACTTGCTAACAGGTAAAAACCTTTAAACTACAAAAACAGAAATAAAAAGAAATAAATATTCTTTTCAAAACAGTGTAAAAATTGTTTATATATAATACTTAAGTTATTCTTTAAATTCTCAAAGGAGTGAGATATTGTATTATAAAGAGAATATCAACAACTCAGGTTTCTTATAACACATGTTTGGCCAGACACAAGTTTGTTGTTTGTTTACAGCATAAGAAACAACAAGCTAATACTAATTGTTTTTGTCGATGCATATTGCAGATCTTTTGAAGAAGGTAAGCCAAATTCCCTAAAAAACACTAATGAGTTAGAGAAAAAATCTAAAAGATGATATCAGAGGAGGCCACTTCTAGGAGAGAAAGATTTTGCTATTTATTTTCTACTAAAAACAGTACAAATATTTGTTGTACTAGCTATCTCTATACTAGTAAACTACTAGTGAGTATCACTTAGAACAACAGAGATATTTAACAATTTTTCTTGTAATTCACTACTTTTCTATAGTATCTAAGAGTTATATCCAGATAATATAGCTAAAAAGAACTTACACAAGGAAGTTATTCACTCACAATATGTTGTAGAAAGCTTAAGAAAAAGAATATTGTTATCTGTTATAGCAGAAAAAATTTTTTGCAAGTTAGATTATTGTAAAAAAGTAGTCAGAGAATTAATAAGAAGAGTTGACTTTATATATTTCTATTTTAAATTAATTATATTAAATACTATATATTTTATATAAATTTTTTCATACTATGTAGTGTTAGAGCTCATGCATATTATAATTAAAAATAGTAGTATTATGCTTTAATTGTTTAAAAATTTACAACTTTAATTCATATATTTTTTACAAATCTATATAGCATATTTTGTTCA